ACACTGTATACAGTATATATAGATAGATATACTGTATAGCAAGGAAACAGGATGCTCTGGGTAGGGGTCACCAGTAGCATTACCATCTGACCGTACATTCTTTCTACCATCGACTTTAGATTTACCAAAACTATGTAATATGACGACCTACCTAATCTATCCAATCAATCTGTATCCAATCAGGCAAAGCTTTGCATAACAGAGTTGTTGGTAGATCTAAAGGAGATTGTACAATCAGATTGTAACATATGTGGTGAGCCTTAATGCTCTTGAAACTCCAGTGTTGCCAACTCCTCCACTTCCTCTCATCTACCATTTCAGTCTCTCTTCTTACCGGCTTTGTGAAGTTGAGTTCCTCCATGATGGCTTTTAGCTCATGCCTACGATGCTGGAAATACAAACTCTTATCCCACGTGTTATAATATGGAGGGCGTTCAGTTAGACCTGAGGAGTCAATAGTGAGATGTTAAAGAGTATCCATCATCAAAAATGAAAAATAAATACACTATTTTGCCAAAAGTATTGGGACACCCTCCAAATCATTGGATTCAGGTGTTCTGTGAAACTTCCTTGCCATTAAGTATTCCGCAGTCACCTGTTACTGGTATTATAACAAAGTGGAAGCAACTGGGAACAACAGCAACTCGCCACGAAGTGGTAGGCCACGTAAAATTACAGAGCGGGGTCAGCACAGTGTGCAGAAGTCGCCAACTGTCTGCAGAGTCAATAGCTACAGACCTCCAAACTTCGTGTGGCCTTCAGATTGGCACAACAACAGTGCGTAGAGAGCTTCATGGAATGGGTTTCCATAGCCGAGCAGCTGCATCCAAGCCTTACATCACTAAGTGCAATGCAAAGCGTGGGATGCCGTGGTGTAAAGCACGCCGCTACTGGACTCCAGAGAAGTGGAGACGTGTTCTCTGGAGTGATGAATCACGCTTCTCTGTCTGGCAATCTGATGGACGTGTCTGGGTTTGGCAGTTACCAGGAGAACGGTACTTGCCTGACTGCATTTTCCTCCCCTGAGATGATGTGCGTGGTCACATGTCCTAGTCACATGTGCCAGATTTTCAGGAAGTAAATGGAGAGCTAGTAATCTGCCCTTAGTAAACATGGCCACCATCAGAAGACTTTGGAAGAAAAGAGAAATAAGGTGCAAAGAATACAAAGTCTGCAATTATCTAGAAGTATGTGCTTGTAGATTTGTCATTACAGGCAGTCCCCGACTTCATCTGACTTACATACGACTCCTACATACAAACGGAGGCTATTACTGTACAGCAGGGGGTCCCAGGCTGCAGCCAAAGAGTACTGCGCACCGTTCCAGTAGTTGTAATGCTACCGCGCTCGTGCCGACGAGGAGTGCCCGCCTTCTTGGGTCTGGTTCGTAGTACTGTACGTACATTACAGGAAGTTGGCTCTTGTTAGACGTGCAGACGAGCGGTGCCCACCTCTTCTTCCAGGTCACTGTGAGGTTTTTACTGCTGTCTGTGTCCTTATTAGAAAGATTTAATCTCACTTCCTGTCCTTGAGACAACAGGAAGTGAGAGGAAATCCACCCCTAGGAAGGGAAATTCACAGGGTACTTATTGCTACATAATCACAATGTGGTATAGCTGATATTGTATGCAAAATGCCCTACAGCAGTGGTTCTCAACCCGTGTAACCTCAGGACCCACATTTGTCCTTGGTCATTAAGTCGTGACGCAAGTTGCACTGCAATGTAACGCACGGCATTGCAGGACTGCGCGTTACGATGTGGGCAATAGAACTGTGGGTGGAAGGTGCATTTGGGGTGCCATTCAAATGAATGGCAAGGCAATGCACTTCTCACACCAAAATGCGTGGTAGGTGCGATTGCAAAGTACAGTGCGTTAATCGCATGGGACTGTGTGAATAACGCACTGTACTAGTGTGAATTGGTCCTCAAAAACACACAACCACAGACACAATCTCACACATACACACTCCAAAGAGAAAAAAATATGGTTCTTTTTTTAAGATCCGCCGAGTCTCCCTACCTAATGAGAACTGGATGGATCCTTAGCCTGGGGTCCGGTGTGGGCTGCTGTACTGTGATGCAGCTCCATCCATATGTGCATTGCTTGTACAGCTTCCTTGCACACCCCGTAGAGGTGACGGGAGCCAGAATGTTACATCACACCGGTCCAGGCACCTCTACAGGACATGCGAGGGAGCTGTAAGCAATGCATATATGGATGGAGCCCACCCTACCTCAAGCTGACACTCTGCGCCGGACAGCATATTTTGAATGGCTGCTTGGCGCAAGAACTGACAGTGCTGTGCTAGGGGAGGCTGAGGAGCCTCTCACCTAGAAAAGTGGAAGGCGCACGGGGACCCACTGAACACAGGGTCACGACCCACCAGTTGAGAACCAAGGCCCTACA